GAGGACTATACATTTTTCCTTCTCTGCTGAGCAGTATAAAATGTATACAATACATTTTATGTTACTAAAAGCTATGTAGGATTAGTGTAAGACAACATAACTGGAAAACCACCGCTTCTATCAACATTCTAACAAGAAACTCTCTTCCCTTAAGTCACTGAGCTAGTTCTAAAATTCTCTTACATTTTAAAGCAAGACACACGTCTAAGACACCATATTCATTCATGAATATTTGCAAATTACCACTCAGTATTTTGACTATGACTCTGAAAGATGCACTAAAAGCCATTAAAAACTTTCAATTTCTACCTTATATGTCAATATTTGTCAATTTACTTGACTTCATAATTGATATAATGTTTTTACTTTCATGATGAAGTTGAGATTTTTACATTGATAAAAAATTGCATTTTAAGATATTTTTTCCATCTATAAAAATAATTTTGATCTGTTATATCAATATCAATTGGTCATATGGAATACAGTATTTGGCTATCAATTTCATGAATAAAAGTCACTAAGCCAAAGTGTTTAAAATCATTTTTGTTGTTGTTATAGTTTGGTTTAAATACTGAATAAGATACTTGAGGATATTTTAAATTATTTTTTATTTGTTTGAAGAGACTTAGAGTCATATACAGTGGTGCTCATGGCTTAGTCCTGGTTTTGAGCTCAGGGATGACTCCTTGTGGAGCTTGGGGGACCACATGTTATGTGGTGGGATTAAACTTGAGTTATCTGAAAGTTCCTTATGTCTGTACTATTTCCCAACATTGAGAATATGTTTGAAGTGGCATAAAATACTTCAATCCTTCATTTTAAACATCATCTAAACAAAGTTAATAAATATTAAAATTATATATTCATGTTAAAATTTAATATACATAAAACAAACCATAGAGTGCTGAAAGTTAACAACAGTTTATTATATACATAAATGTTTACTATAAGGTCACATCATATATTAAGAGTTCTTATTAGTAAATCAATAAATAAGAGATTAAGTATTAAGAGGTGAAGAACATTCTTATGGCATAGATATGCTAACTGTTTCAAGGGTTTATACTTATTGCCAAACACGTGCTTATATTAATTGAATATGTAAATCTTTTCATCTGTGAGTCATGCCTCAATAAAGTGAGTTTTTGGCTAATAACATTATAATGTCAAGCTCCCCGTGGGGTATTTGATATGCCAAAAACAGTGACAATAACGAGTCTCATTTCCCTGACCCTGAAAGAGCCTCCAATATGGCACCATTGGGAAGGACGAGTAGGGAAAGGCTGCTAAAATCTCAGGACTGGTACAAATGAAGATGTTACTGGCACCCACTTGAGCAAATAGATGAACAACAGGATGACAGTGATACAGTGAACATTATAATAAATATTTGAAATCTCATAACAGAATATGGAAAATTAATAAATTATAAATGTCATATGATCAATTTTTCCAGGCAGCTAAACCTGTATCTCTTCCAGGAATCAAACTTGTATTCATTTGAGAGTTACAACACGTCTTAAAATATCACTATTGGACACACAAAAGAATCTTGAAACCGGAAACTAGCAGCCCCTTACAGAGAGGACTCTGACTTTACAATAGGTCGATTTGACTGGGCTACTCCAGACAGGAGCAAGTGCTATCCCTCCACTTGCCTCTGAGGAATCCCAGTGGTCACCATCTTCCAGAACCCAATGAGAAGCCCAGGTATACAGGAGCAGAAAAGGAAAATGCCAGACCTCAGGGGATGGGATCGCAGATGGGCTGGTCCCCCTCATCCCCCTGCCCCAATGAGACCCTGAGATGATGCCCAGTAACTGCGTCTGGCTACCATTTAAGCTCCTTAATGGCCATGATCCAGAGACACACAAAAGAATCTTGGAACCAAGCAGCTCACTGCAGAGATCTCTCCAGACCCTAATTATCTAAAATTTTAGAATTCCCGGAGTGACATCTTATGCTATTCATAATAAGCAAAACAAAACAAATTGTCTAGCATTGCATTTTCAGCAGGTTTGAGCGGTTGTGGAAAAATTCCAAATAATAATGGTGGGACCAGTGTCAAAGTATTGAATGTAATCAAAGTAGAGAAAAAGTATTGTGAAAATTGTCTGCCACACATGCATAAGAAGCATTGGGATGGGAGCAGATACTGGAGATTTTGGTGGTGGAAAGTGTGCACTGGTAAAGGGACGGGTGTTTGATCATTGTACAATCCAAACTCAAACAGGAAAGTTTTGTAACTGTATCTCACAGTGATTCAGTTAAAAAAAAGTCACTATTGTCTTTACTTTAGACATAAATTTGTCGAAAATATATTCCGAACCATCTTTTCTCTTATAGAGTCTGTCAAACTTTATTTTTCTGTATCTTTATAACTCTAGTGGATTATGTTGTTTACCTGTTAAAGACTTGATTCTGCCAAGATCCAGCCAGGAGACATAATTTGCACCGATTGTTTCAACAGTAACTGATCTATATGTTAGAGCAATTCCACTTCCTGGCATCTACCCAACCAGTCAAAGTCTCTACACAAAAAAGACATTTGTATTCCAATGTTTTTTACAGTAGTGTTCATAATAAAATAACCAGGATATAGAAACAACTCAAGTGTCCAAGAACAGATGACTGAATAGAGACTGTGATGCATATATACACAGAATATTTCATGGCTATCAGACAAAAACCATTAACTTTGATGCTATGTGGTTGGATTTGGAGAATATCATGTTGATTGAAGTCATAAGGAGACAGAGGTACAGAAGATCATTTTCATATGAGTAATTGGCATATTAAAAACATAATAAGGAAGTAAGAAATGGCTAGAGGCAACGGAAGCTGACCACTGGTCTAGAGAAAATGGTTATAATCTTCTATTTACCTTGCTATAAAGAGTGGGAGGGGGAGGGAAGACACTCTGGTGAAGAGTGTGGTGTTGGAACACTGTATGTGTAAAACCCTATCATTGAAAACACTAAAAATCACAGGGCATACAGTGATTATTTTTTAAGACCAGTTGAAAGTACACCATTTTAAAATTTATTTATTTATTTATTTGCTTTTTGGGTCACATCCAGTAATGCTCAGGGGTTACTCCTGGATCTGCAGTCAGGAATTACTCCTGGCAGTGCTTGGGAGACCATACGGGATGCTGGGAATGGAACCCAGGTCAGTCATGTGCAAAGCACACCCTACCCCATAACACTATTTTTTAAAGGAAAAAAATAGAACATTAACTAACACATGAAGAAAAAAAATACTACAACAAATTACTACCATTCATAGGACTAAGTGATCAGAAGAAATAGAATGAAAGATTGAAATTAGGAAAATTTTTTAAAAAAGGGGAACCTGGGGAGAAGAAACCCAGTCCTCTGAGAAAGAGCACTTATATGTTGCAGTTGGTCTGGCATGGCTACTAACTGGGTCATGCAGACCAAGAACACACATCTCTGGGAATGTACATCTGTTTGCTGGGTTTGACTGTCTTTGATGTGAGCATGATGCAACTGTTTCTGCTAAAGTAACTGGCAGCTGGACTCAGCAGCTAGGACCTGGAGTAGCTGTTGATGAGGTGAAACTGTGGACATGAATGTACACTGGAAGTCTAAGTCCAGCGGAGGCCCATAGCATGAGACAGAATTAAGTAAGCCTCTTCTTCCTTCCCTCATCAGACTCACCAAGTCTCAAAAGCACCTCCTACAGCTAATGCCTGAAAGACTCAAGTGACAAAGAAAAATGTTTTTTGTAAAGTCCCAGTTCCAACATAGCCAAAATAATGTAGGATTGGGCAATTGCTAAGCAAATATCTGGCAGGTAGCCAGAAATTATCACCTTATGGGGCCACAGAATAGGCCCCCTGAAAACCTGTTTATAATTTATTTGTTCTTCTTTTAACTATATCACCATGACTTGAGGAAGGAAAATCAATGGAGAATGCAATGAAGAATGACAACTTTTTAAAATAAAAATTTGTTTCACTCTACTAAAACAAAGAAAATTATCCAAGATATATGTGATCTCAAAGCAGTGGTGTTCATCTTAAAGGTGAGTTCATCTTTCTCTTCCAAAATAGATTACAATGGCTCAATGATTGTTGTTTATGTAAATTTTTAAGACTTATAGCACTTATATTTGCAATCTTGGCATTATTTCAGTAATTAAAGTTATTAGAAGTCTGACTAGTGATTGATTGTCCCTTAGCTGAAGTAATCAGGACATTTGATAGTAACTAAACTTACTTTACAAGCTATTTGTATATCAATTAGGTAATGATGTAAAATGTATCATAAGGAATTCTGATACTGTAAGATATGTATATGCCTTAAGATCAAAATAAGAAGCTATTAAATTCAAAATTATATTACGTAGGATTTTGCTTAGAATAAATTTAATTAAATAAATTTAATTCATTTTCACAATTTGTGATTTACCAAGAAAGATACAGCTTGGGAAAATATATCACAATTATGCATAAAGTAAGTATACTTTCATTTTCATGCCTAATAAATTATCAGTTCATTAATACAGAAGATAATTATCCTCCAGAAAGTAAAACTAAAATCATGACTCTTTTTAATAAATATTTATTTCACACTAGTAAAACAGAGAAAACTATGAATGAAACAATTCAAATCTTATTATGCATACATTTTGAAATGGACTTATACCAATGAGGATTAATGAAATTATAAATGTATTTAGCCTATATTGTTTAAGTTGCAATCTATAATTCTACCAACTGATTTTTAAAAATATTTTCAAATGGTTTGTATTTTTGTGAGACTTGTCGTTACTGTGTTTGTCATATCAAATATGTCATGGTAGCTTGCCAGGCTTTGCTGTGAGGGTGAGATACTCTCGGTATCTTGCCAGGCACTCCTAGAGTTTGCACTGAATGTGGCCAGCTATGCGGCCAGGTTTTTATTTATGGTAAAAACATTATTCACATGCATTTACTAATGTAGAGGGCTAATAATGTTTCAAGTATTTCTTACCTGTTCACATCCCAGATTTTACTAGTTGCATCCAGTGAGGAAGAAGCCACAAGATCTCCCCAGGTATTCCACGAACAGGACCATACAGCATGACTGTGTCCTTCTAGGGTCGAGATGCAATCACCTTTTGATAATTCCCATAATTTAACTGTAGTGTCACCGCTTGTAGTAGCCAGCTTGTTTCCACTATTAAAAAAATGATTTAAAAAATAACTTGTTAAAAAAGAAATCTATAATTATTTTTTCTTCTTCTTAATTTCCTTATAACATTTTAGACCCTAAGTTTATGATGCTCCAATTAAAAATATTTATACACTATGTTTAAATGCTGTTATAAAGTTCCTGTGAATCAACTTTTTAATGGTAGAAGAATTTTACACAGAAAAATATAAATCATGGTTAAGAGAAACAGAAGAAAAAACAATCCTATCATGGATTGAAAGGATAAATATGGTTTTAATGACCAATCTACAAAAAGAATTATGCAGACTTATTGTAATACCTAAAAACTTCCATTGACTTCCTGAGCAATACTAGGTATGGTCCCCAATGTACCTCCCTCTCAAAAAAAATCACATGAAATGAATACTAATAAAACTTATATGGAACAATGAAACTCTCAAATAACAAAAATGATTCTGGGGGAAAAAAAGGAAGATAGGAGGTTTTCTCTCTCCACTTTAATTAGAATATAAGATACTATAGAATAAAGGGAAACATTAAAGAAATGAATAAAATTGAGAGCCCAGAGAGAAACCCTCAGAAACAGGGACAGATTCTCATTTCACAAAGGAGCAAGGTAGATAAACTGGAGCAAGGCAGGTTTACTTAGTATATGGTTTTAGGGAAACTGGTTATCTACATGCAAAAGTACTTATTTGAATCCCTATCTCACACCATACACAAAAGTCAATTCAAAGTGGCTACAAAAGACCCCAATATTGTAACTATGTTCATAAAATGCATCAAAGGAAACTGGCAGAACTTTTCATAATATTGTCTCTGAAAGCAACTTCAATGACTTGAGAACACTGGCAAATGAAACAGAAAATGGACTACATCAAACTTAGAAGCTTTTGCACTGTCAAATAAATGATGACTAGAATAAGCAATTATCTATGAGAAAATATTCTTTTCAACACATTTTACAAAGGGCTAATATCCAAGGTATATAATATCCAAGGTATACAAAGCACTCACAAAACTTAACACCAAAATTAAAAAAAAAAAACTCCATCAAAAAATTGGGAGAACAGTTAAAAAGACAATTCCATAAAAATATAACCAACTCATTACTTGATCACTTGACTTCCCATTAATCATCGATTTGCTCAAATGGGCACCAGTAATGTCTGCATTTGTCCCTGTCGTGTGCTAGTGTAGCCCAGTGGCATCTGTTCGTTCTAGGAACACGAAGAGCCTCAAACCTATCCTTCAGGATCTTGATGAAGAAGTCTGACCATCTGGTAGGTGGGCAGCCATGCGGTCTTTTGACCTCCCATGGAATTCAGTCGGTAACAGCTCCAGTCCAGCAGTCTTCTCCAAGTCTCATTACATGTCCAGCCCATCTGATTTTTGATGCCTTTGCAAATGAGATAGCGTCCCTGATTCTTGATCGTTGATGGAGGTCGGAACTTCCAGATTCCAAATAAACAACAAACAATGAAAAAGTTTTCTTTGTTATGAAAAAAATAAAAATTGCTTATTATGAAAAAAATAAAAATTACAATGTGGTGTCAGTTCACATAAGTGAGAATGACATGTATCAAAAAGACTGGAAAAAAAGTCAGTGCTGTCAGGTAATTCAAGAAAAAGGAATCCTCATCCGCCATTGGATGTTGGAAGAGCTGTCCTGTGTTTCAACCTCTAGGAAACAGTAGAGAACTGGTAACAATTAATTAAATAGTTAATTAATTAAATTGAACCTTCATTTGATCTAATTAATTTTTGTAAATGGCTTTATTAGGCGAGCAATCTGTGCGTCTGAATTATTTCAGTTTTATGAGTACAGTCTTTTATTTGCAACTACACAAGTAATCTCTCATTTATATCATTCAGTAATCCAAGTCCATGAAACTATGATGGTACAGTTGCTTGAGTAATTCATGAAATCATTTTTTTTCTGTTTGTTTTATCTTTAGCATGTGATCATTCGGGGATAATTCTTTCATATATACAGATCACATAGCCCCAAATTTCTGCACATTCAGAAATAGATTAGGTCAATTTCAAAACATAATACTATATCATCACTGTTTATGTTTGTACTAGTTGAATGTTCCAAGAGTGTAATGGGGACGAAGAAGTGGAAAAAGAGAAATTATGAATGAGGGAATGTAAACCAGGTGCAAAGAGTTGAAAAAATTTGAATTGCTAACTGACGATGTGTCACTGGCTATTCTATTTGGGTAATCACTGTCACTGTCCTCCCTTTGTTCATTGATTTGCTTGAGCAGGTATCAGTAACGGCTCCATTGTGAGACTTGTTACTGTTTTTGGCATAGCAAATATGTCACGGGTAGCTTGCCAGGCTCTGCAGTGAGAGCAGGATACTCTCCGTAGCTTGCCGGGCTCTCAGAGAGGAAGAATCGAATCCTGATCGGCCGCGTACAAGGCAAACGCCCTGCGCTCTGTGCTATTACTCCAAGTAGATATTTAAAAAATCATGTACTTTAAAAAAGTCAGATGAAATTGTAGTATAAAAATATCTAGTGGTCTATCAGTTACTTTATACAGAAATATCAAGGTTTTGTTTGACTTTGGTTTTGTCAAAACATCAACTGAAAGAATATTTTACTTCCTTCATCTTCTCCACATCTTGATGCACTGCAGATTGTATTGTGTTCTAGAAAATTTTCTGCCATTAATTACAATTAGTAGTTTATATGTCATCCTGTCTTGCCAGACTATTTTATAGAAACTGTGTATCTTCTGTTTCAAAACCATGCAAGTGTTGATGAATCAATAGATTTATGCTATAAATTCAAAAGAAACAATAGTACCCGATATTTCTAAAGGAGAAAACAATCTGATAGAAAACAGAGTTCTGCTTGTTTGCTTCTTTTTATTCTCTGAGAGAATGTGCTTTCTATTTCAAGAAGATAAATAACCATTAGAAACTGTAAGCTTAAATGTGCTGCAGAAAATATAGGTAAAAAAAGTGAAGAAGTTCTTATTAAAGTTATTATAGGAATACTTATTTTTCAAATTAGTAGAACTGAAAAACATTCTCATGACATACAGCTTTTCATCAATAGATATTAAAATCTATCCCTCATTTTTCAGTGGTTATTATTTGTACATGTTTGCAATTTAAAAGTTTACTTTTTATTATTAAAGACCAAATAATACATTTGTCTAGCAATATGCAAGAAAACATTAAAATCAAAAATAATTTAACAATTCCTTTTTGAAACATTTATACTCCTCATGGACTAGAAAACTATTATGGTCTCATCTAGGATAAGAATTTCTATAATATAGTTTTGCCTATTGTTCAAAACACTTTAAACAGATTTTCTAGGCTTTTTTCTTGCTTTAATACCCTCTCAGAAATAAATTTTCAACTAAGATGAAAAAAATTATTTATAAATGTTATACATTGATATTTAATCTAAATATAAACAAATCTATTTAAAATAATTCATAGAAAATAACAAATGAGATTAACTAAATTTTAAATATAATAATTAAATTATCCCAAGTTGCAGTAAAAATATTAGGAGAAACTAAAAAATCATAAAGAACATGTGAAACTAGGTTGTTAGCATACAGGATAAATAATTTCACTTTAAACCCTCAAAATTTTAGACTGAAGTCAACAAGTATGAGTTTACAAGAATGTTACCAACACATAATATAAAACAGTTATTACTTAGACACAGTAGAATAAAGGCATGTGTCCCATACAACTTCAGGTCTTTTAATTATAAGATATATAATCATTAATGAAACATAAATTACAAATAAAATTATAAAGAACAAAAATTTTAAAAGAAAATAATTACTGAATTAAAGTATCAGAGTTGGCTGAATAGAAGATTATTCAAAATGAAATGAATTAGAAGCAAAATCTAAATTTAGAAATCCCTGAGTTAAAATATAATAGAACATGAAAACAGTATATCTCTTTTTCTGCTTTACTATATGCAAATATCACATATGATGTACCTTATATGACAAAGTTTATTTGTCACAGTTCTGGATAATGAAAAGTCCAAGATGAATATATTAACCAATTTAATTTACAGAAACAGTTCTTTTTGTCTGATAGCTCAGTTCTTGCTGTATCTTCAAATGGGAAGAGAATGAGAAGAGATGGAAAGAGAAGAAGAGAGAGGATGAGTTAGTGTGTTTCTCTTCTTGTGAGAGCATTAATTTGTGATGGCATCTCCACTTTCATGACCTCATGGAAATATAATTATGTCCTAAAGGTTCCATCTCACTTTTGAACATAGAAATTCAACATATAAACTTAATGGGGGACAAAGACAGACTGCATCAGTGTATATAATTATGTACATTAACAAATAGGTTGATGGAATCAGAATATCAGAAGAGAGTGAAATAAAGAGATACATGTAATACTCCAATTGTATCAATAAGTTTATTTATAAAGACTATAAAAAATCTAACATTTAGAAGCACACATTCAAAAATTTTGGAAAAAATCAAGCAGGGTAAGTAAAAATAAAATTTAGATAATTTCTAGTTAATGACAGAGAACCACTGACAATAAAAGAAGGAAAAAATAATCAAATAAAAGGTACAATAAATAGACTAAATCTGAAGCTTAAAATCTTTTAGTTTGAACAACAATAAAAAATTAGTCATATTATACTTACATGAGGCACAGAGAACACCTAAGAATATAGGACATTTAAAGTAAAAAAATAGTAATATTGAAAAATTACCCAGGGAAAAGGTAATGAATATAAAGTGAATATATTAACATCTCATTAAATATTTTAAAGTAAAGTATATTATTACAGATCAAGAGAGTCCTTACATATTGTTAGTTTATCATCCCTAAAAGGCTCAGAAAAAAAAAAACCCTAAGCTATGTAAAGTTATACTAAATGCATCTTAGCCAAATAAATTAATGTTAGAACCATAAAGAGAATTGGCCAATCTATTGCCAAAACAAATATATACAAATGTGCGTGTGTGTAAGATGTAAGAAACAC